GAATTCCGACAGTGTTCAAAAATGTTTTAATGTCAACAAACCTGATTTGCTCTCAACTGATCTGTACGATTGGATTCATCTCTGCCACCAGCACACAATGAGACAAGCAGACGCTAAAATTTCATGAATTTTGAAAATATTACCGTATCTTTGCAGAGTGATTATCCTACTGTAGATGATTAGTTCCCAAAAGACATTTTATGAAAGGTTATGGTTGCCAGCAAGTTAAGCTTTCGTACTTCCCAGAATGGGGCGGGGTTTGAAGGGTTCAACTTTCTTACCATTTGGACTGATCTGAGACGAAGACAGTTTAATTGAAAGCTAATGATCAGTTAAGCAAACCTGACGGCCTCTTGTGAGGAAACTATTTAGCCCATTCAACCTACCAGAATCCAAGCTCTCCCACTCTTTTACTAGATTTCCCTTACATTTCCTGGCCCCTTTAAACTGACAAAGATCGCTCGTTTATCTACCGTACTCCGGAGAGTGGTTTAATTATTGAACGAAGACCTGAGTAGGTGATGGCTACCGAACGACAGAGTTACAGAACCTCTACTCACCTGGAAAGATCCACTGGTATCTCCGACGAGATCCCTCTCGAGGGTCGTGCGGTAGAGCTGCTGGTAAACGCTGCAGATCTCGGCGATCTGCGCATTAGTTCGTGACGTCATGATCTCGATCAGCACTGATTCCTTCGTGCCAAGACCCTGAAAAAAAAACAAACCTAGGGTTGCCTTTGATTGGAAAATGGTAGACGAAGTTTCAGAAAGATCAAGAGAGAAGGAGGAATGAAAATGAGAAATTAAAGGCACAACCCAGTAAAACTTTAGGTGAAATTCTTCCGATGGGTAGGGTAGTGATGTTTATGATAATTCCCGAACGCGTTCTTCCGGCTAGCCGATAAAAACGCGAAGGTCTTCCAAGAACCCCTTCGATCGCCTCAATTTTTCTCGTTCGCAGCAAGCCCTCGTCTGGCGCCCTATAAGTTGTGTTTTCCTGCCTTGCACTCTCCTCTCTATTCCCAGTCTCTCATTGCTTTAGGTTACCACAAACGTGATCAAGCCGCTCATTTCTTTCTTTTCTGTCAGCTCTTTTCACAAAAATGCTTT